TCTCCATTCTAACTTTGTGTACATTTAAAAAAAAAACCCACAGACTCTACAACACATTTTGTATTGCCACACAGATTTGTGTGGACAGAAAATCAAGGGATAGCATTCCCCAGTCTGAGATGTTTATGTCAGGACTGACCTGACCATAACACACAAACCTAGGTTGAATCAAAGTAGGTATGCATAATGGTCCTTAGAGTGGCTGCACTAGCAATGATAAATAAGGCAGAAAGTCTGCAAGCAGACTCAGAATAAATGTTAACAAGCCGAGGACATGGATAACAGAGATAGAAAGCATCGGGAAACAAGTCAAGGCCAGGGTTACAGAGAGCAAGAATGGTCAAACAAGTCAAAGTCAGAAAATGGAATAAGTACAGTAATACTTTTGGGTATACAGAAGCCATGACATAGTTAGGAACTAGGAACAACCAAAAAAATGAAATACCCTATACTATGTAGTAATTAGTTACAGGTCTGTGTGATGTAATATGTAGATAATATGTAATAAGAAGGCACCATGTAAACACCAACTTTATTGATAGCGGAATCTTAACCAATATTACGATTCTATGACAGAATCACATACTTTCACCACCTAGAACTGACCATGCATGTAGCGGGCAACCTATGGTATTGCCACATTAGATAAGATGGTATTCCTCTTGAAATTAACTTTAACTATAATTTTTATTTCACTTTATGTGCTGTGCATTACCTTACCCTACACGTGCACTACCGGTTTATATATGATACTACACATTTAATAGAAAGTACTCTCCAAACTTGACTAGCCTTGCCTATCAAAGAATATCAGTATGATGTCACATCAGGGGCTCACTCGGAAAAATGGCATCCACTATCCTGTCACCCACACTTACAGGCACTAACAGTAGCCACAACTAACACTACCAGGTTTTATCATGGGGCCTATTCAATATACACAACACATAACTAATAGTGTCTGGGCGCGACCTCTCCCCATCTCCTCCACTCCAAGGCCAGGGTCAGGCCAATAGCTCACGAAAGGAGCCCTGGCTGCGGAAGTGACTTTGCAATTTCTCCCCAAAAAGGAGTCTGAAACTTCCCATGACTCCAACACACCCTTTACCAACAATATTTTATGTGTATATGTTATGTATTTTATTTGTATACGCAGATAATGCACAGTGTTCTTATATCGTGTTTCCTTTATTCATTCTGTACTTTTTAATTTATCAAAATAAAGAAATTTGAACTCCCCTCCCCCCCCCAAAAAGGCACCATATAACTCCAAATATATGAGGTGGCAGAGTGTAAGCATTCCATATCATTAATGGTATCAGAACGAGGCATCACAATGTTGGTACGTGTGTGCAGTGATGGAGGCTGAACACAGAAGTGCTTGGTGTTAGGAATGTGCAGCACCACAAAGAAAATTCCAGATGTCCAAAAGTTCATTTGTATACACTATGGAGGAAATTACTGCAAATTTGAATGGGATCATCTGTATCCATAATAAAATCCCAGGACAATATGCAGGTTCTCTTTTCTGGTCACATAGGACTCAATAGGCAGAAACTGTCTTTCTTGTATCAGAGTCAGAATTGGAGCCTGTATGCCTGTTTCTGTCAATGTCTGTAATTGTTTGCCTCTTGCAAACGTTGCTACGTTGCTATAAATGTTGCTACATTCGTTCCACTAATTATGTTACTGTTGTTATTCACATATAAGTTACAATAATGACCTCCTGTCATTTTGATAATCATCGTTACTTATATACTTTCTTTCCTTTTTCTTACAATTATTTTATTCAGCGATGAACCAGAAAATTCAGGTAAACATAGGGTTAATCAACCAGAATCCTGAAAAACTTCCATTAAAATAAGGGCTTATGATTTAAATACTCCTATACTTACCTGTATCTGGTTCCCCTCTGATGAACCTCACTGGCGAAACGTGCGCGTCAGGGGCTCTGGACACATTTTGACACATTATTGGTGTCGGCATCTAACTCTCCGCTTACCAATTGCGATATTGCAGACATTAAGTGCATTTATGTCCAGCATCTCAGGAGTGTATATTGGAGACTCTTAACACTAATTTAGTGCACTCTGTGTATATACTTTATTTCTCTTTCTTTTTCTGTATTACATTTTATGGGGGGAGATTGATAAGACCAGGCATTTGATTAAGGGGTGGCCTTGAAGGCACAAGACTCAGGAATCCTATTCTATACGCCTTCCTCTGTCACTGACTATATTATTGTTTCCATCACTCAGGCAGCCTGTTTGTAAACTGTCTGTAAATCTCTTGTTTTCTATACACTCGCACTTATCATTTAAATGCAGTTATCACTTAGGCAACGTTTGTGACTACTAGCGGGTTAACTGCTGCCTGTCAGCAGTCCTTCATAGCTGAGCTACTAATTTTTGTTCCGCTGTGGTTAAGCATAATATAATATCACCTAGTACAGGCAGCCGTTGCTATACTATACTATAATATACTGCTTTAGATATTTTTCAGCTAAAACTGAGTCAGCTCGGCAACCCCTTATCTCATACTTTACTGCTTGACAGTAACCTCTAATTCATCATCCATATGCTGCTACTTTCTAGGCAGCTTTCGTGATATTTAACTGGCTAATCGTCGTCTGTCAGCAGCATATCTCAGCTGAACCAGTTTATTATTATTTTTGCATGGAATGTTGACCCATGTCATTAGTATGTACTACCATGCAGTGATTTATTTATTTATTTATAAGTCTTCTCACTAATGACAGCACTGGTTTAGCAGGCTTTGAATCTACCCCTGTTACAGTTATTAGTGATATACAGTTGCAAGAAAAAGTATGTGAACCTATTGGAATGATATGGATTTCTGCACAAATTGGTTATAAAATGTGATCTGATCATCATCTAAGTCACAACAATAGACACTCACAGTCTGCTTAAACTAATAACACACAAAGAATGAATTGTTGCCATGTTTTTTTATTGAACACACCATGTAAACATTCACAGTGCAGTTGGAAAAAGTATGTGAACCCCTAGACTAATGACATCTCCAAGAGCTAATTGGACTGAGATGTTAGCCAACTGGAGTCCAATCAAAGAGGTGAGATTGGAGGTGTTGGTTACAGCTGCCCTGCCCTATAAAAAACACACACCAGTTCTGGGTTTGCTTTTCACAAGAAGCATTGCTTGATGTGAATGATGCCTCGCACAAAAGAGCTCTCAGAAGACCTACAATTAAGAATTGTTGACTTGCATAAAGCTGGAAAGTTTTATAAAAGTATCTCCAAAAGCCTTGCTGTTCATCAGTCCACGGTAAGACAAATTGTCTATAAATGGAGAAAGTTCAGCACTGCTGCTACTCTCCCTAGGAGTGGCCGTCCGGTAAAGATGACTGCAAGAGCACTGCGCAGACTGCTCAATGAGGTGAAAAAGAATCCTAGAGTGTCAGCTAAAGACTTACAAAAGTCACAGGCAAATACTAACATCCCTGTTAGTGAATCTACAATATGTAAAACACTAAACAAGAATGGATTTCATGGAAGGATACCACAGAGGAAACCACTGCTGTCCAAACAATACATTGCTGCACGTTTACAGTTTGCACAAGAGCACCTGGATGTTCCACAGCAGTACTGGCAAAATATTCTGTGGGCAGATGAAACCAAAGTTGAGTTGTTTGTAAGAAACACACAACACTATGTGTGGCTAAAAAAAGGCACAGCACACCAACATCAAAACCTCATCCCAACTGTGAAGTATGGTGGTGGGGGCATCATGGTTTGAGGCTGCTTTGCTGCGTCAGGGCCTGGACAGATTGCTATTATCGAAGGAAAAATGAATTCCCAAGTTTATCAAGACATTTTGGGCCATCTGTCTACCAACTGAAGCTCAACAGAAGATGGGCGTTGCAACAGGACAATGACCCAAAGCATAGAAGTAAATCAACAACAGAATGGCTTAAACAGAAGAAAATACGCCTTCTGAAGTGGCCCAGTCAGAGTCCTGACCTCAACCCGATTGAGATGCTGTGGCATGACCCCAAGAAAGCGATTCATACCAGACATCCCAAGAATATTGCTGAACTGAAACAGTTCTGTAAAGAGGAATGGTCAAGAATTACTCCTGACCGTTGTGCACGTCTGATCTGCAACTACAGGAAACGTTTGGTTGAAGTTATTGCTGCCAAAGGAGGTTCAACCAGTTATTAAATCCAAGGGTTCACATACTTTTTCCACCTGCACTGTGAATGTTTACATGGTGTGTTCAATAAAAACATGGCAACATTTCATTCTTTGTGTGTTATTAGTTTAAGCAGACTGTGATTGTCTATTGTTGTGACTTAGATGATGATCAGATCACAGTTTATGACCAATTTGTGCAGAAATCCATATCATTCCAAAGGGTTCACATCCTTTTTCTTGCAACTGTATAACACAGTATCACTTTTATATCTTGTATTGTTTTTGCATTAGAATTTATACACCTTTACAGCCTATATCAGTAGTCACTGAGCTTTACTCGCTGCATAGTCTCCACTTACTCCTGTTGTTCTTACATTTTTTTCTTTTCTACATTTATTTTAGATTTATTTATTAAAAGTTACTTTTTAAGCTTACAATTTTTTCAGCTAATTATACACAGGTAGAATGGCATTTTTTTCTTTTTTTTTGTTTATTCCCTATGATAGTCACCTTTTAGGGGTTACCCCCCTTTTTTGTGTATTCTACCTTGTGTTATCTAAAATCAGGCTCTAGGTTGATTTTTTTCGTTTTTTTTCGTATAACACTTTTGAGAATAATTTTAAAGCCTTTACTTTTTGTTTTACTTTTCTTGTGATATTAGGATTGTTGTTGTTGTTGTTTATTGCAAGCTGCAATGTATCATATTTAAGCCTACACACATACCTCTCAGAAGCACTATCAGCCAGCAGACACTAGTTAAAAATCTTGTGTAGGTCAATATGTATCCCACAATAGTACAAGGGAGAATTAAAATCTACCCCATTCCCACACTTGCCATGCTGCAAGTGGGCATGTCTTTTAAACAGTAGCTATTGCTGCTCAATCGTGTGCAGCATAGAAGAGGGACCTGGTTCCCCATGTGCACCCACATGGCGCATCAGTTGTGGACTTCAAATTAAAGAATAGGATCCCTCAATGGGGCTCTAAATTATAGTCTCAATTGTTCCACAGTGTTAAACAATCAAGTGTGCTCTGTCAACAGAAAAAAACAAACAGAACAAAGAAATACTTTGCAATGCCAAGACAGACTCTACAGAGACTTATATAATAGTATTATAATGTAATATTGTGCAAGAGCTTCCCTGTGGTGATTTTAAGGAACAGCCCATCAGTGTGCTTAATCATTCTCCTAAAGGTGTGTGACTTGGTAACACACTGTAGAAACAGCCAGGTGAAGGGCTGAATGTTTTCAAATGGAAACGTCAAATCATAAGAAGACACTACAGAATGGACACAATGGAGAACATATCCAGGATGGCTACACAGCTCTCCTCAATGAAGGAGAGGAAAATGAAATGGTAAATACTGGACCATATGACTTTATATTTTTACAATGCAAGTAATTTGTTTTCTAAAAAAGCTTGCTGTAGTTGTAATAGAACAGGGACTTTGGCAGGGTTATTCATTAGTGAAAATTCAAAGTGAATTTTAAAATTAAGGTAAAAGCAGCAGAAGTGGAAGCATAGTTGACCTAGATCATTTTTCCAGTTAGACTATTTTGGCATTAAATTTGAAATTCACTTTGCATTTAGTTTAGTTTTGATCAGTTTCGCAAAACATTGGAGTCTTTTACCCAAAGCCAGGACCATTGCTCTCGTCTTTGATATTACATAATACAATAGTCAAGCATTATCAGCATTATGTTAAATGTCATCATTAGCTGTCCAAAGCCATTGGATGGGAATTATAGGCTGTAAATGCTAGGGGTGAGTTAGCACATATAGATTGCCCTTTTAACTTTCACTTGCTTTGTGTTAAACTACATTCATAGTATATGAAAGCCCATATGATAAATAAATGTTAATTTTATAAATATGGAGGCAACTGTAAAATGTGTACAATATGATTGTTTAGCTGTGTTTACATTTTATTACTTACTGAATTCAGTGGAAAGATTATTTGCATTTTGTTTCAGTGTCACTTTTAGCCTTTAAATGTATATTAGATTATGATTTTCTACCACATAAGTACATGCAGATGCAGACAACTGTCTGTTTATTTTTGTGTTTTGACATCTTCTGCATTAATTACGTCACAGTTAGGCATATTCTGTAGTGCAGGTATTTAGAATATCCAAACATGGACAAATAGGTTCTTTCGAAATGATTTAAGTAATGCACCCTGGAATACTGGTTATGGTGCTATGATGCCATTCAAGTGTAAATTGTCAACCAATTAGTATGGTTTGACAATTTCTTTCAGGATTCTCGTTAGCTTTACTGAGCTTAGCAGGGCCATGCAGGACAATGCTCAGTGTTGGGATGGAGAACATCAGTGGAGTGCTCTCAGACAATCTGCAAAGTCCTTAACCTGCCATAAATTTAGCACAGACATCAAATTATCACAGAATTAGCAGTCCCAAATTAACTGTAGAATTAGCGTAGTATAGACATCTGGGTTCTCCTGCAGAAAAAGCCTGGGTGAAAAAAGGTACAAGGGGGACCCAGATACATTGTCAAACTTTACTGATGTGTTTTTACTAATTCTACTGGAATAGCACCAGGGCACTCCTGACACTAAAGTCTTAGCTTGACACACTAGATATGCATTGTAGTAGTTATGGTGCTTGAAGTGTTCCTTTAACTTCATTCACTCAGCAGTTTTAAAAATAAAATACACACCATTAGGATCTGGGTATTTTGGATGTCCTGGATGTCCTGTTTAAATGTATTTTTTGTTTCAGTGTATTATTTAATGAATGCAAAAACAAACATTTTTATTTGACAGAAAAACTTTTAAAAAACATTTACCAAACAATGAACTTTATATATACTGTAATTAAACATATTAATATATTTTATATAGTATATATAATTATAACAAATATTGTCATATTGCCATGACATTGCCCATACCATATCACTCTCATTACAGCCACTTTGAGCGGCTGGATACAAAGGTAATAGTGTTAAGCTAATGTGGATGGGACTTCAGAATTATAAACGTTATATCCACCAGTGAATTGATATAAAAATAAATTATTTTAAAATAACAAAAAAAAATATATATATATATATATATATATAGAATATATATGTCTCATTTTAGAATTGAACAGTCTTGTAATTAGCATTCTTTTCTTCACAGGAAATATTTGGCTACAAAACAATTCGGTACCGTAAAGTGCTTTCCATTATAGGATATATCATTTCTTTTGGGGTACTTTGGCTTCTTTTTTACTGGAAACCTGAATGGGAAGTCTGGATGTGCTGTGAACCATGTAGCCTGCAGGAAGCTGATGTTGTATTGCTTAGAACAACGGTAAACACTATCTTCTCCCTTTTACGTTTGCATTGTTTTATCTTAGATTTATGTGAAATTAAGCAGAAATTCAAAGGATCTTGAAAATATAATTTACTTTTTTGTCTCCTATGTCAGGATGAATTTAAGCAATACTGCAGAAAATGTATTAAGTGGACTGATCTTTCAGAGCTGAAGTTATCAGTTGCCACATTAGAAAAACCAATTCCTGGAGACAGCCATTCGATCATAAACCAAGCAATCATACCATCTTTGTTAAAGGTATTTCATTTTACTTTTCCATTTATGTTTTCAGTCATGCTTAATCTGAATTTTGATTTATTTCTGCTATAGATAAGGTATTGCTGTTACAACATATGGCAATATAATTACAATTGAGATATAAGCAACAAACAGCACATTGAAAAAAGTTTATAAAGATTATACTTAGAGAAATAATCTACTGGTTGTGAACACATTTTGGTGGATATGCTTTAAAACAGGGGTCACAACATTATTTATTTGGGGCCACTGGCCAAGTTTTCTTCTCACATGAGGGCCACTGAGTTGGCCCTCATGTGCCTACACACACACACTCTAATATTCACAGATGGTGGTAGACAAGGAACAGAAGACTGCAGTTGTGGTGGATGTGGCAATACCCAGTGACTATAACATCAGGAAGAAGGAGCATGAGAAGGTGGAGAAATACCAAGGACTGAAAGAAGAACTAGAAAGGATGTGGAACGTGAAGGCAGTAGTAGTCCTAGTTGTGATAGGAGCACTCGGAGTTGTGACTCCCAAGTTGGGGGAGTGGTTTCAACAGATTCCAGGTGGGACATCTGAGATTGCTGTTCGAAGAGTGCAGTTCTAGGAACAGCTAAGATACTGCACTCTCAAACCCTCAAACTCCCAGAACCAAGAATAAGGAATAAACATATCACCCAGGAGGGATGAGAAAATCAATTTATTTTATAAATATATATATATATATATATATATATATATTTACATACACACCCTGATCAGCCACAGCATTAAAACCATGGACACCACAAGACCTCTGAATGTGTCATGTGGTATCTGGCACTGAGATGTTACCAGCAGATCCTAAATGTTGCTTAGTGGCACCTCCATGGATCGGATTTGTTTTTCAGTACATACCACAGATGCACAATCAGATTGCAGTCAGGAGTATTTGGAGGCCAAGGCAATACCTTGAACTCTTTGTCATGTTCCTCAAACTATTTTTGCATTGTGGTCAGGTGCATTATCCTACTTAAAGAGGCCATCAGGGAACACCATTGTCATGAAGTGGTGTTCGTGGTCTGCAATAATCTCTAGGTTGGTGATGATTGTCAAAGTAACATCCACATGCTTGCCAGGATCCAAGGTTTCCAAGAAGAATATTACCAGAGCATAACACTGCTTCTGCTGGCCTGCCTTCTTTCCATAGCAAATCCTCCAGTCATCTCTTCCCGAGATAAATTATACCATACACCTGATCTAAAAAAAAAACTTGATTCATCAGACCAGGCAACCTTCTTCCATTGCTCCATGGTTCAGTTCTGATGCCTGTGTCACCATTTAATGTGAAAATCATGGGCACTCTGATCGATCTGTGGCTTTGCAGCAAACTGCAAAGCAGTGTGGATTAGGACACCTCTCTATCATGGCCAGCATGAAAAGTTTTTAAGCAATTTGAGCTGCAGTAGCTCTTCTGTGTGAACTGACCAGATGGGCTAGCCTTCACTCCCCATGTGCATTAATGAGCTTTGGGCTCTCATGACCCTGACATCAGTTCCCCATTTGCACTTTATTCACCACTTTTGGTAGGTACTAACCACTGCATACCAGGACCACCCCATAAGACTTGCCATTTTGGAGTTCCTCTGACCAGTCATATAGCCATCACTATTTGGTCCTTGTCAGAGTCACTCAGATCTTTTCACTTTCGCTTATTTTTCCCACTTCCAGCACATACAATTAAAAACAAACTGTTCACTTTATGTATAATATATCCCACCCCTTGACAGGTCCTATTGTAACAATATAATCAATGTTATTCACTTCACCTGTCAGTGGTTTTAATGTTATGGCTAATCAGTGTATATGCACACACACACACACACACACACACACACACAATCACACATTCGTAAGTACACACATATACATAAACAATCATAAATACAGTGACATTCATATACAAACACAGGAACAGACACTCAGATAGACACACTTAAAAATACACATACAGGCAGACTCATACACGCATAGTCACATATACATACAGAGGTACTCACACTCAGATACACATGTAGGAGCACACACAATTGCATACACGCTGCAATACACAGACAAGTACACTAACTCACAGATACCTACAAAATCACACACTCAAATATGCACACACTGGCACTCCTATTCTTAATGTATTGTAGTGTCCTGACGAGGGGCTGCTGACAAGAATCTATTGAGGTTCTGACACACAGTGTGCATGCATGGAGTAGGTAGTTTTGTGCCACAATCCTGTCAAAAGACTTGCCCACATACACACTGCTCAACAATACTACACTAGGGGAAGGCACCCAAAAACTCAATAACCAGACTTCACTGACAGTATGGTAATTGAGCTGCCAGCAGCTTCCCTCTATGCACAATATAAATAAATAATTAATGTGCCACAAATGGCCTGAGAGCCTGTAGTTTGAGACCCCGGCTTTAAACG